TCTTACTGCCCTCAGGGTCTTTGGCTGCCTTTGCTTTGCCTCTACCCTCAAAAATCACAGAACCAAGTTTGAATCTCGGGCTAGAAAAGGTGTTTTCATTGGTTATACTGCAGGCATCAAGGGTTACAAGATCTATGATCTTACTACCAATGATGTTTTCACATCTAGGGATGTCCAGTTCTATGAACATCATTTCCCCTTCCAAGAACAAACCACTTCTCCTAACCCTGCCTATCCCCAACCCTCACTACCTGCCCTGTTTGAAGATTCATCTCCTACCTACCATCTCCCTCACCCCATGAACCTCCCTCCATTAACCAACCAGTTTTTCCCTCAGACAATGATGATGATGATCCTCCTGCCTTCATCCATTCCCCTTCCTCCTCCCCAACCCCACCTTCCCTATCTGACTCACCACCACCACCACCACAACAACAACAAATCCTACCAACTAGAAAATCTACCAGAACCTCCAAACCCCCCCCCCCCCCCCCCCCCCCCTCACTTACAAAACTACCATTGCAACCTGCTTCAGCAGCTTCCTTCTACCAGTCATCTTCCACAGCAGCACATCCAAGGTACCAAACATTCTCTCTCTACTGTTCTTAACTATTCCAATCTTTCTTCTAACCACAAACACTTTGTTCTATCCATCTCATCCCACAAAGAACCTGATACCTACAAAGAAGCAATCCAATCCCCAGAATGGGATGATGCAGTCACCACAGAACTTTCTGCTCTTGATGCTAATGAGACATGGGAGATAGTTGAACTACAAGCAGGCAAGAAAGCAATTGGATGTAAATGGGTCTTCAAGATCAAATTCAATCCTGATGGATCCATTGATAGGTTTAAAGCAAGACTAGTAGCCAAAGGCTACAACCAACAAGAAGGAGTCGATTGCCAAGACACCTTTGCCCCTGTTGTCAAAATGACAACCATCAGACTCTTCTTAGCCATTGTTGCTGCTCAAAATTGGCATGTTCATCACTTGGATGTAAACAATGCCTTTTTACATGGGGATCTTGACCAAGAAGTTTACATGAAACTCCCACCAGGCTACAAGCCCCCTGCCGGTTTCAAATCCCCAGTTTGCCTATTGAAGAAATCACTCTATGGTTTAAAACAGGCATCAAGGCAGTGGTTCTCTAAGCTTGCAGACAAACTCAGGTCTCAAGGCTACCAATCCAGCAGAGTGGATCATTCATTATTCTACAAGACCTCTAATTCTTCGTACACATGCATACTGGTGTATGTTGATGACTTGGTAATTGGGGGCACTGACTTACAGGAGATTACCAGCCTAAAACAGTCCCTGCACAATGCCTTCAGCATCAAAGATTTGGGACCCCTCAAATTCTTTCTGGGAATCGAAGTAGCCAGGTCAAAACAAGGAATCCACATTTCTCAAAGGAAATACACATTGGAGATTTTGGAAGAAGCAGATTTATTGAATTGCAAACCAGTGACTACACCAATGAACTACAAAAGTCATCTCTCCTCTCAACATTCTGATCCATTCCCAGATCTTACTCTTTACAGAAGACTTGTGGGCAAACTAATCTACCTCACCACTACAAGACCAGAAATCAGCTATGCAACACAACAGGTGAGCCAATTCATGTCTAATCCAAGCCAAGATCACTACAAAGCAGTTCTCAGAATCCTAAAATACCTCAAATCAGCTCCCTCTAGTGGACTTTTCATCTTTGCTACTTCTTCACTTCAGCTCAAGGCATTTAGTGACTCTGACTGGGCAGCTTGCATTGATACTCGCCGATCAACCACAGGCTACTGTGTTTACTTGGGTGATTCCCTAATCTCATGGAAGAGCAAGAAGCAGACAACAATCTCTCGCTCTTCATGCGAAGCTGAGTACAGGGCCCTCGCTCATACCAGCTGCGAAATCCAATGGATTCTATATCTCCTCCAAGATTTCCAAATTGGCCATCCTCAACCAGCAATTCTCTATGGCGACAATCAGTCTGCGATTTACATTGCCGAAAATCCAACCTTCCATGAAAGAACGAAGCATATTGAGCTTGACTGCCATTTTGTGCGCGACAAAATCATCTCCAACATCATCAAAGTGCTTCACATCTCCACTGTGCATCAGCTGGCCGATCTCTTCACCAAACCTCTTCCTCCTGCAACCTTCAATCACCTTCTCTCCAAGCTTGGTGTGCTGAACCTCTGCCCACCAGCTTGCCGGGGGGGGGGGGGGGGTATCAGAGAAAAACCCTCGTTTTTTTCGCCTGAGATGGAACCAGAGTCAGCGGAGGAGGAGGCAGAGCTCCAACATTCAAACCCATCGACCGTTGGAAATGAGACGGCGTCGCATCCACTAAAGCCAACCCAAACAGCAACCGAGACGACGACGCATCGCACCTGGAGTGAAGTGGTCTCTGGCAAATTACCAAACAAGTCCATAACTAGTTAACTTGTACATTTTCCTGTTTCGGATTGTACTTTCTTCTGTCCCAAACTTGTCTTCTTTCCTTGAACTGTAAACCCAAACTCAACAACATATAAGCTTATTGAAGAAGTGAAAATCAATATAAGCCAAAAATTCCAAAAGCAAAACAAAGTGTTAGGAATCGAATCCTAATCTCCCAATCGTACTCATCGACAAACTTGGTAAAGATTCGATTCGTCTCCGCGACTTCAAAATCGTCTCAAAATTGAGCGAGATGGTGTCGTGTCACAAAATGAATTTGAGAACGCTTGGTCTCGATGCTCCATATCTATGGCCTGGCGGTTGGTTCCGTTGTTTTGTCAAAATTTGAGATGGACGAGATGCTGTCGATGATGGATCTGATAGAGGGCCATACATTTTCCTCTTCATTTTATTAATTCTTTGATATATTTTAATAAAAATCTGAAAATGATTATATGTTGAACGCCATGTAGGAAGACAACTCAGCTTCTTCATGGTTTGTCAACATTACTCACAGAAAATTTAACCGGAGTTAATATTTAACTAATTATTAGTAATTTAAAAGATTTGGCTAATAAAAAGAATGCATGAAATGCTTGGCTAATAATTACTATTTACAAAAATAAAGTAAGCATATGCTATGTTCTTTCATCTTTTTCTTCTCTGTTCTTTTCTATTTTAAATATAAAAAATTTTGTAATTTTTCTAATTAATAGTTGTAAGCTCAAATTTCTTAGATTGTTTTCTTCTCATTCATAATCTTATTGGTCAGTGAGTACATATAGCTATAGAGATCTCCCACGTCTTTGTAAATTTTCTTGTTGTTTTTGGTGTTATGTTACGAGTTATATTTTACTAATTCTTCCACATTACACATTATAGTCCTATATATCGCGAAGCGCAAACAGCGGACCATATATAGTAATTGTGATTTAGGAATTTAGAGAGCGTTGGAAGAGGAATAAGAAAAGAGAAGGCTAAAATGAAATTACTTTGGTGTAATGATTTTTTGTTAATCCTACAAAATGACTAAATTATATTTATATAGATTTCACCCCTAATGACTTAATGCTATAATTTACTAATCTAACCCTAATATAATAATATGTTTCAAAATAAATTATATTTCTTACTGTAATCTTAATACTTGTCGGATAAAGCATATATACTTTAGTGTTAAGAATCGTGTCACCTATGATAAGCATGATTGTGCAAGATTATGTGGAAATAGGTTATGCAAGTAACCTTTTGCTAGTTTGTTTACCTACTTACTAAAATTTTCATGTATTTGGAATACGAAAATTCTATAAATGGTTGATTGTGTGCACCATATAAAAGTATGATAATGTGAGCTTGGTACTCCTACAACACATAAAGTAGGGCCATATTTCCATGAACTCGAGATCATTTTGAAATGCGCATACAAAGATCGTTTTGAAAAAAAAAATTATGAACAGAGAATATTCAGAACTTTAGATACAATCAAGCTACTGATACAAATATATACACGCATAAAGAACTCGAAACCTTTTTTGGAAAAACTATAAACAGAGCATACTTAGAACTTTACATACAATCAAGATACAGACACACATATATTGTTAGAGTGTGGTATAAGATCAAGTATAACCTTCTCCCAACAACTCGAGTTGTTGGGACTAACTGGTTTATGACATGGTATCAGAGCTGGTTTGACCAAGTGGTCGTGTGCTCGAATCTCCACGACCTCCAATATTAACAGTTGATTAAAGCACAAGGTATGGTGGGCCTGTGCAAACTTCAAGCCCGTGAGCTGGCTTTCGTTTGAGGGAGCGTGTTAGAGTGTGGTATAAGATCAAGTATAACCTTCTCCCAACAACTCGAGTTGTTGGGACTAACTGGTTTATGACATATATACACTAGTACATATATACACTAGGGCTGCAAATGAGCTGAGTCGAGTTTTTGCTTGGCTTGAGCTCGGCTCGTTTATTAATTTTTAGCTCGAGCTCGGCTCGAACTCGAATTTTTATAATCTAGCTCGAGCTCGGCTTGAATAAAAATAAACTAGCTCAAGCTCGACTCAGTAGAGCTCGATAAATGCTCATTAACATAGCTTGTCAAACTTAGTACAAGCTCGGCTCAAGATGAGCTCGATTTAAAATCATTCTTGCTGGAAAAATGTGTAAACATAAGAATTTAAATGATAGAAAGAACACTAGAAACTATAAATAACATCTAAATTTCATACACATTTGTATTAACAAGACAATGTTCATGTTTAAAACAATAATTCATCCTTCCACAAATAGTTCTAAACAGGGCAACAAATAGTTCTAAACACGAGCTTAGCTCAACAAGCCACCGAATCAAGCTAGCTCACGAGTTTATTAAGCTGGGCATGGTCTAGGCTTGGCTCATTAACTAACGAGTTGACTCGCGAGCCAGCTTGTTAAATAACGAGTCGAGTGTCGAACGAGTTTTTTCCGATTCGAACGCCGAGTTGCTTACTAACGGCTTGGCTTATTTGCCGCCCTAATACACAATAATATTTCATCAACATAGACAGAAATCCATTAGACAACTACCAGTTGGTAGTTGCTAGCACAGCCTGGGACTGGCGTTCATAGCAAAACCTATTAGCCTTGGAATCATCAGCCGACCAAGCGAAAATCCCCTGCAGCTTCCCCTGTTTCTTCAGCCTATCGCACGCCTTAAAGAACCCATCCGCAGGGGATAGCCCGCCGCTCCCATTATTAATGAAACTCACCAACACCTTCCCGCCATCGTAATTCAAGCTCTGTTCATCGTAATGCTTCAAAAACTGGTCCACACTGGTCCCCTGATCATACGCGTAGAACTGGTAATTCACATAGTCAATCACATTCCCGTACTTGTTCCACAGAGCCCGGTAATGACTCTGTACCTTGGGGTCGTCAAATGGAGCAATCGACTCAAAAGAGATGACCCGTTGTTCTTCAGAGTTGATATCAGCCAGCCGATGTACTCGGCGAAAGTGTCTAGGTCGGATTTGAAGTGCTTGTAGTCGATGTCGAGGTTGTCGGTGTCCCAGAAGACGTTGAAGTGGCCATTGGTGGGGGACGGGGAATCGGAGGTGTCGTAATCGATGGAGAAGGCGAGGAGAAAGTAGAAGTCGACTTGTGGGTTGACTGGGACGTCGGTGAACTTGACGTTTTTGAACTCGACGCCTATGAATTCGCGGAAAAGGTCGGCGATGGCGTCGTTGGGCAGAGCTTGAAGGATGATTAGCAGGAACAGAGCTTGCACAAACATCATTGGCTTCGCCATTTGATAGGGCAAAAGTGTATGCCTTAATCCTATCTTGTAGTAAACTGGAAAGTCCGGGTATCGTCTCTCAGGAACTGGTACAACTTAAGATTTATCGATTTAATAGAGCAAACTATAGGTGAAAATGATTTAATGAAATTATTAACTACTAGCAAATTTAACTAAACAAGCAAATTAAAGCGTCGGGTTTAAATCAATGGGAGAAAGCTCTGGGAGCCAGGATATCACGAATGTGCTAGCTATCCCTGTCGGGAATTACTACGTACTAAACAATTAAATCAAATCATACTGTCGTAGCTCAATGACCTAATTATTTAGCCTGAAGACCGATACCCTATTTAAGACCGCATAGCACCTTATTTAATCCACTGTCGCTTCGATAAGTTACTATGTCACAAGAAATAGGTTCAGTTAATAGGGTTTCACTGTCGCTAATAACCTAATTAACAACAAATCAATGTATTGGTGGCCAGTCAACACAAAGCATTAAGTAATTTCATGCAATAGAGATTGGAAGAAAAGAATTATGAATCAATCCATCAAGTCAAGAAATAGCTACATCCTATGGTGTTTCCCCCAGAAATTGGGGTTTAGTTCATGACGAAATTAAGATAAATCGATAGGGTTTTGTTCATCATGTTCTAAATCAACAATACACAACTAGTTCGATTCAGAGAATTCAACCAACTAATCGCTCTCGCTGAACTCAGCTCAAGCCGCCTGGAAAACTGATCGCCAATTGCTGCTCGACAAGAAGTTGCTCGTCCCAACTTGCGCTGCGCCCTGCTAATTTTCTCCCAGGGGTCGTTTGGATTAGCAATTTTAATAGGAGTGATTTCAGATCAAATTCCTCATTTAAAAAACCAGATAATTTAAATCAGTTATTTTACCCAAATTACTTGTTTGTTTGAGGATTAGAGATTTTGATCCAAAATGTTTAAAGACTACCTTACCCTCGTCTTCTCCCTCCTGCCTCCTTCGGATCCAAAGAAACCCAGAAATCGCCATCATAGCCACCAATGACCAAACCATCATGGCCACCAGTAACCCATAATCACCCCCTTTATCCAATTGAAGAAACCATTATTCATTTATTCATCATCTTTATCAGTAGACAAACTAATCCCACCTTGCAATCAATCTACTCTCCGAAACCCAAAATCCCTAATTTGGGGATTAGGGTTCCCTCGAATCACCAACAACCATCGCACCATCCTCGACCAAGTCGTCGCCGGTGGTGGCACTCAGAAGGGGATTGTATTTGTCAACGGAGCTGTTGTGACTTCGTTCGGAAACGTTCGGCGGAGTTGGAGGAAGAAGAACAAGACGTCGACGTCGACGTCGTTGTGGCTCTGTTCGCAAGACGACCGACGGATCTGAGGGAGAGAGAAGAAGATGTCGTCGATGGGAAGAATGAGAGTTAGGTCCGTAAAAATTGTGGTTAAGGGTACAATTGGATTAACAAAAAATGAGTAGGGACACAGTTGGCAGAAATTGAAAAATTGGGGCCGGATTTTAAAATACTTGAGGGGTGGCAGCTATTTCCAATTCCGGACTGGGCCGGATTTTAAAATTCCGAGTGGCCCAAATCCCGCATTATTTAAGAGCTACCCAAACGCGGAAATGGATTAAAATACTTGATGGGCCGGAAATCTGGCTGAATCCCTCATCAGTTTCCCGGATCCAAACGGGCCCCCAAAGGAATTCGTCCGCTCTCGTCCGCCAGCTGGTCGCGCCTGCTTTCTTTTTCTTCTGGCCCAAAGAAATCCGCCCTCGTCCACTTTTGCCTCCTCTTTCTCTTGCAAGAATTCCGCCCTGCAATTCCCCAAAAGAGAAGCCGCCGTTCTTTTTCTTTTTTTCTTCCCAAAATTTCGCCAAAACCCCAGTGTCCAATTTAATTGCTGCCTTTTTTTTTGTTTTTCCCCAAACCAATTCCGTTTCCACCCCCAAAAATCCCCAGAGCCTCCTTTTGCTTTGTTTTTCCCCCGAGCCAATTGATCTCGGCCCAAGCTTTTTCTGGCCCAATTACATCTCCTTCCCGAGACAAAGCGATTTGGGTCCAATTAATTGCTTGTGCACTCGCTTCTTTTTCGTGCTTTCTCCACCTGTAGCACACCAAACTCATGGTACTAGGCAATAATGGGTTTTCAACCATTTCCGAGTTAGCGAGCTCTAAAATAGCACCAATCGGCTTAAACATACCATGGATAATCACATAAAGTCCAAAAATTCAATATGTTAAAGTCGATTATCACAACCCCACACTCAATTGTTGCTTGTCCCTAAGCAACGACTCAAATAACACAAACACAAAATCATCCAAAACAATGACACATTACAGACTCACTAATCAAACACTCAAACAAAACCAAATTTTCCTTGTACTCTTATTGTAATTAGTAGTTTCTTTCTCAAAGGACAAGTTGTGCTTTAATTGTCATACCTTTCTCCCCACACTCAAGTTCTTTGCAACCATTACCATTGACTGACTCAAATCCATCAAAAACTCAAATAGCAACACTCAATTTCGATCGTCAGTAGTGGGTGATTAACAACTTATGGTGTAACAATTATTAGGAGAATCTAACCACATCAGTGAGGTGCATATCTCGTGAGGACAGTCTGGCTTACTCACACCAATCATAAGCAATTAATTAAGCATGAGTCTCAAAAACTAATGGGGGAAGCCTTTCGCAAACATAATTTTACTTTAAGCACATCACTACCTTTTATGACAAGGAGAGGCTTTCTCTCTTTCTGCTTTTGCTTGCCGAGAGGTCGTATTTAGTACAAGTGGGATTTGTTTCTTACTACCGGTGACCGAGCAAGAGCAATTTCTGCTTCTTAGCACTCGCATAAGGGCTTCTTTTAACTCCTTTTCCTCGGTCCGTGTGGAGGGTCATTGCATCCTCAAATGGCACTTCACTCAACTGGGGATCGTACTTGATAAGCAACATCGTACGGCCGCGAACCGATTATCAATTGAATCTTTCCTCATCCCCATGTGCAATGAGTGATTGCCTCACACGATTTTGGCATTTTTACCCACACTTTAATTGTTATGGCAACTTTCTTATATTTTACTTGTCAGGTAGTGTTTTCTTTTATGAAGATACAGTTCACCCCATCATAAAACATTCAAAACAGAGAGACTCGTTGCCAAATCAAAAGCTCACAATTGATGCAAGTAAGTACGGTATCCAAACATGTCGAATGGTCAATGTTCTCCGCCTAACTACTTCACCAAAAGTCATTACACTATCCTCACAAAAGAGAATGTTGCTAAAAGAGTTTGCTAATTCAAAGCATATCAAGTCAGTCAAAACATCAAGCTCATTGTGAAGAACTATGCAATTCAACACTAGTGGGGTGATTTCGATGATTTCATTCAAGCACAAACTCATTTTCAAGGCATCACGGTCATTTACATCATGTTACCACAAGAGTACAAGGTTTTGTTTTTCATTTTTTTTTTTATTTTTAGGTGTTTTTTAGCCATTAACTTTGCACAGGCAGCATGCTTTTTACACAGGCAAACTGCATGCAGTTTGGCTGTGCATAGCCAAATGACAGTTTTTTTTTTGGATTTTTTTTGGATTTGTTTTTTACCACATGCAACAGGGACAAACAACACTAAGACTCACCAATGGCAAACTTTTTTTTTTACTTTTTTTTTTACCAACCACATGACAAAAGGAACAAGCAAACACTAAGACTCGCCACCCCACACTTAGGATGGAACATTGTCCCTAATGTTCAACTCCTAATCTAAACATGCACGGGTTTGACACAACTAAAAAGAAAAATAAAGAAAAGAAAAGAAAACTTACCTTGGGTTGCCTCCTAAGAAGCGCTTGTTTAACGTCCTCAGCCTGACTATTATGGAGCTTTCAACCAATGGGTATGGAAAGGTATCCAGAATACCCTCCCGAGCAATGATAGAACGCATAGCCTCCATCCAACATATGAGTCACCTCTGCAGGGCCAGGTGTGCGAAAATTCGGTATGACCTTCTTAGCTGGCATGTTGGACCCTTTAGTGAGGCGCAGGTGGTATTGCAGTGCCTCAAGCAAGTACTCTTCCTGTTTCAATGTCAGTGAAGAAGGAATAATAACAGGAAGATTGAAATCCTTACCCAAATATCTATACTTGAGGTGACCTGGCAAGGATTTCTGCCCTTGCTTTGACTTCAGAATTTGAGCAGATAGGATAGGTGATAGTTCTTCGGATGGTCCACTATCACAGGAAGAGGGATTTTTCCTTTCTCGAGCTCCACTGTCAAATTCATCATGATTATGGTCAGCTTGAAAGACATTAAAAATTTCCTCCTCCTTACCTACTCGGAATGTCAGTTTGCCTCTCCCAACATCGATGAGTGCATCTCCATTGGCTAGAAAGGGTCTACCAAGTATGAGAGGCACTCCCCGATCTTCTTCCATCTCCAGAATCACAAAATCTGTTGGGAGAATAAACTTCCCAACCTTCACCAATACATTCTCCACCACTCCTTTTGGAATTTTTACTGATCGATCAGCCAATTGGAGAGTGATCCGAGTAGGCTTAAGAACATCTCCCAATCCCAATTTCTTGTAGACTGAGTATGGCATCAAATTAATTCCTGCTCCAAGATCACAAAGTGATTTATTGAATTCTGTACCTCCAATGACACATGGAATGGTGAAGCTGCCCGGATCATCCCTCTTTTCTGGTAATTTATTCTGAATCACAGCACTACATTCAGAAGTAAGGGTTACCTTCTCTAGATCAGCCCATTTCAGCTTCTTCGTCAGCAACTCCCTTAAGAATTTAGCATATGTAGGCATCTGTTCAAGTGCCTCCGCCAAGGGTATGTTAATCTGAAGTTGCTTGAAGTTATTCACAAATTTCTTGAAGTTTGGGTCTTCCATGGGCTTCATTAACCTTTGAGGGAATGGTGCGGGAGGTTCATAAGGCTTTACCTCTTCATTCTTCAATTTTTCCACTTTTTGAGGTACACGGGC